TTGGAGTGCTTTATAGCTACTGGAAACCATCAACAGGAGAGATGGCATTTTTCCATCCCAGGATACTGCCTGACTCATGGCATTAGGGCAGCCTCCAGGGACACATGGAGGTGCATGCCATCTGATGAAAGATGAGGTTAAACTGGGTTCTCTGAGTGTCCCAAGCACCAGAGGAGGTGTCTTCATGCTCAGTTATATGGGCTAAAAGGCAAGAACCATCCACAGCAACCTGTGAGATGTGCCTAAACCCAGCATTTGCTGCAATTGCCTCGTTTTTGCCAAGGGATGCTCAGAATGGAAATAAAATTAAATGACACGAGTAGAGCAATCCTTTCCTTCCAATCTGGAATGAATGATATTTATTTCAACAGGAGGACAACAAAATGTTGTCATTCTGGGTTGGATTAGATTGTTTTTTACTTTCTCCTCACCCCACCCTGAAGCAAAACCCTCACTATTCACTCAGGAAAGGGGTTGTCTCCTGCAGGGGCAGTATCCTCATCAGCTTTTGTAAAGATGTGATGTAAAATATCATGTTCTATAACTGCAGAAGTAAAGCCAGATAAAATTTCTCAACAAAACAATGCTCTGATTGAAAAAAAAAAATACCTTTTTCATCAGAATGAAAATATGTTTACAGGAACACATTAACTCCAAATAAGTTTGACGGAGAGGAAACTGGGCAGGGAGCTATTCCAGCTTCATTCAGGTAATGTTTAAATACATCATTTTGGCTTCATCCTGTTATTGGGTTATATTGTTATATATTACATCTGCCCGCTGCCATATTTTAATTTTTTTCAGGGGACAGGATCGCCACACTCTGTAACACTCTACCAGAAACATGGCACTGATGCTCTTCATCCTCCTGGTTATGATGCTGGGGTAACAAGGGACCAACACCTCCAGCTGGGTGTCACAGGTGGTGACCCGCCTGAAAGCCCACACCGAAGGAAAGAGGAAGCCTCACTACATGGCTTGTTTTTAAAAGAGAGCCACACACTGGGAGTGTTATTTCTGCATCCCTCGATAAATGCCAAAACCTGACAGGTTTCAATAAGTCCACAGCAGCTCCAGACCCGTCTACCAAGCTCTGCTGTGCAGTTATAGCTTCTCCCTCCTGCAGATGCTATAACCTGATGTTATCAGCATCACTGAATGTAGCCTGAAAGGTTTTCAAAGGCTTGTTTCTTTCGCATTAACCCCTTGCCCAGCCTTTGGCTTCCTGCAGATATCTCTCCTGGAGACCAGCCTGGGATCCTCAGGAGTCTGGCTGCAATCACCAGAAGCTCCTTGGTCCCATTAAAAAATAAAATAAATCCACAGCTCTGTTGACACATGGCATCATGGCATTTCTCTCTGTGGCAGAAACATCACTAATTTGATAAGATGTTCACCTAAGATGCTGGAACAGGATCCTCAGGCAGCCTCCTTGCACCAAATAATCCATAGGTAGAGCATTTGTGCAGATGAGGGAAACCCAGACCCCAGAAACTTGAAGCTCTGGAAGAGCTTTTCTCTTTTTCCCCCCATGAACAGAGTCAGTCTCTAAAATAATCTGAAAATGGAAAAGATAATGAAGTTGTACATAGGGAATAGTAATACATACCATTTTCTATGCCCATTGATGACACAGAAACAGAATGCAACAGCAGTTTTCTTGGATTTCTAGTATGTTCAGCTTTCCTCTAGTCTGCTACTCTGATGCTGCTTTCAGAAATGCGTAACTGAGCACGAGAGCTGATGGCCAAAATTCTGGGATAGGAGCTGGGGAAGGTGTCATTGTGCAGCTGAGAGATTCTGTAGTGTACAAGAAGTCTAAATAAGAAATATATATATACATAAAAAAAAAAAAAAGGAAAAAGGGTTAAGTATGGAAAATGGATATGGGTAGTAAAAGAATTCCTCATCAGTTTAAGTAGCTAGCAAACATAAGACAAGGAAACAAAATGTGAAAAGGGATCAGGTGAGCACATGAGAGTTTTTAAAACATTCAGAAGAAAAGAGGGAAGAAAATCACTCTTAACTTTACAAGGTGAGGCAGGGAGTGCTCTCCACTCAGACTTGAAAAGTGGCAAGCAAAGCGCCTCCAGCGTCCTCTAAAAATGAATTTTATGCCCCATTTATATTTTCATTATTTATGGAGTTTTGCTGATAATCCCTCCTGCCGGGAAGGAGATGACCACCGTCCTACATCTGCTTACCTTTGTTTGCAGCTGGGACCACAGCCATGGATTTGTTCTGCTTCAGTGAGAGGCCAGGCTGATTTGATTATTGCCTTCTAACATACAAAAAGGCTGCTGCTAAAAGCCTCACTCAGAAAGAAGTTACGAAAAGCAGGTTTTAGCCTGTTTGTAAGCTATGGCAATGAAGGAAGCCAAGGGCCAAAGGACTGTGTCACCTGCTGGCCCACGGGGTGCCACCACTGAGCTCAGCCAGCGAGGTGGGATCAGGGCTTGGGCTGGGTGCCCAGGGCGAGGCTCCAGGTCCCCGCAGGGAGTGTTTGCTCTGGTTTTGGCAGGGGAAAAATCCACACACATCCCTTGGTGTGTTGCAAGTGGGGATGCTTCTGTGTGCTCCAGAGGGATGGAGGCAGGTAAGGCTCTCACCTGGTGTACCTGACATGCTATGGGCAAGAGCCCCTGGCGCAGAGTCCCTTTTGGGTAGGTGTAAGTAATCCCTATTGGGAGGCCTTTCAGTTCATCCTTGTCCTTAAATTTAAGTCTCTTCTTTACGTAATTTAGTCAGTCTCGTGTTCACTCAGGCATCCCAATTTATGCAGAGTATTTTCTGTTCCTGGAGGAAGCCAGGGGATGACCCACACTTAGAGCTGAGAAATCATGCTGGGATTTCTTTCACTTTAAGGAAAGCATATGGTCTACCCTACAACGTCTGGGAAGTGCTGCATCCTTTCCAGTGAAGGCTGCCTTGAATAATCAGGAGGCAGAGGAGAGAAATTTTAGTCTCTCCCAGTTCATCTATTACTTGCTACACTCTCAGATAGCCAGGACAAGCAGTAGGCCAAAGCCTTCTAGAAGGTTCTTGGCAAACTTACAAGACTTTTTTAATAAAATCTCCTGCTTATGTGGAGAAGCAGAGACACTGATCCCCATCCCACTGCTGGGGCTGACTGCTTCTCCTCGGCTCTCCCTCCTCCTCACCCTACCCATCCTTCCACCCAGTGGTCTGCAGACCCCTACAGAGATCACACATGGTAGAAGAGGAAGAAACACCACACAGGGAGAGGGCAGGTACCACCAGGTCAGAGCAACTCAGAGGCATCAGCAGAGCTAAAATGGAAGCTCATGAGAGCACAACCCGGTAGCCCAGGAACGTGGTACTGCCAAAATCAGTGACAAGCCATGGCCTTTGTACTGAGCTTGCAAGGCCTCAGGACTGAGCCTTGCCAGGCCTGCTCTGCCCAAACTTCTTATGACCTGCTTGTTTTATTTGGTTTGGCTGTAACAGCTATTTTTTCTGATGACGAGGTGGCTATGGGTAATTTGCTTTACTTTTGTTTATGGCTGGATCATGCAAAGATAATTTTATATAGACCGCAGTAACAAGCAGTTATTCTGTAAAAAAAAAATAATGGATATTTACTAATCTAACATAATGATGCATTGTAGAGGACCTTGAGGGGCAGAGGCAGAGTAATAATTATTGGATTAGTCAGTTAAGATTTCAATTATACTACTAAGAAATTCTTGTTTTCATCTACAAGTTGTGTTTCCTTTTCACCCACAAACAACACTTTGAGCATAGCAAGAAGGAGCAGGAATCGTGTCCTAGGCTTGGTTCTGACAGAGGGGGAAGGTAGCTATAAAAGATGGTGCTACAAGCCAGCACGCCAAAACCATCCTGCACAGAGCTAGGGCAACATGAGCTTTATAAAACTACAGTGCAAGGAGGGAAAGAGAAATGAGCAAAAGAAAGTCTTGAGTTCAGAGTAACAGCTGCAGCAATTACAGTACAAGCATACCTGCAGGCATGCCTCGGCGCTGCGTCGCTAGAGCTGAGCAAACGCATGTTTTGTTTCTCTTTCTGCATTGTTGTTTATGTTTTACCACCAGCAAAACTTGGTCTCCAAATGCTGCTTCAAGCTAAAGATATTGAAACATTTCCTGAAAGGGAAAAAAAAAAAAAAACAAAAACAAAAAACAAAAAACATATATATATATATATATATATATATATATGAACAGCTTTAGACTTTTCTTTTGAATAATTTCTAAATTTTGTCAAATATGATCAAAATCCACAAAATAGCTTTGGCTAAATAGAGTCTTCTGTTTCAGATGATAAGCTATTTGAAGGCAAATAACAAAAAAATTGCCTGGAGTGAGTTTTCTAACTACAAACACAATGTAACGTTTCTGATGTAGACCCAAAGACCACATTGGAAGAAGTCATACTCACCATGACTCCCTTTCTCTTGTTTCTCTGACCACAAATGTGACAAGGCAATGTGAGGGGAATCCTGGTATACTTCTGACTGACAGCAATATTAAGATCAAATACTGTAGCACATGAAAGAGGCTAGTTTGTGCTCGGGGAAGCTGCAGTGGGACATTATGGATCTTCTTGGGCTCAGTTCCCTGAAACACACAAACGAACAAAACCAAACCGAACTAAACAAAATTGGTTCATTTTCTCCAAGCAACAGCCTCCAAGACATGCCATGCCTGTTGAGAGTCTACATGGCCAGAGACCCACCAGACACTGAGCACTCACAATGGAAGGAAACCATCTTAACATACACAAAGACTTGGGACCAACGGTGAGACCCACAGCCTAGTTTTCCTTGTGACTGACATTATGTGGTCACCCTGGTAATTTGGGGTGCACTATCATCATGCAGGTATCACCTCAGTGCAGACGTTCCCAGTAGAGTAGAGCTTGAATACAAGTATTGACAGTGGCTACAGCCATGGTTCTTGGCTTTTTCAGGGTTGCATGTTTCCCTGAGGGAAACACCTCTGTGAGTGTGGTTCCTGCATCATCTCCCTGTGTCCTTAATGCAAGCTTTGCTGCCTACTATACTGTCAGCAGACACACAAGGAGGGGAAAAGATCTGCCCCACATGGAAAGGGTGAGCTGTGGGGAAATGATAACAAGTCAAATAATTGTTATTACTTCTGAGGAAGACAGTCTCCTCAGAATCTTCCTCTTTCATCAAAAGGGCACAAGGGAGATGGGGAATATTGAATATTACAGTTGTGTTCTGAAGTGATGGCAGTAAGCTTTTTATTTTTTCCCTTTTTTCCCCTCCATTATTAGGGCATATGAAATCTTTATTGAGGTTGAAAAGATGAGATGTTCGCTGAAAAAGCCTCAAATTTTAGTCAAAGCCAAGACAAGTGGAGGGATACTAGGCTAGAGTTTGAAAGTTTATAGGCTTTTGTGGGGGGATTTGCGACTGAGTGGGGTGTGGTTTCTGGAATTCTGTGTTGTTGGTTTTTTGTTTGTTTGTTTGTAGGAAGTAAATGCCCCTTTAAAGAATAAATAAATAAAATTAGCCAGGTGATGAAAAGCTTCTGGGTTCCTCTAGGGTACTTGCTGTCCTACATGGGCTGTTCTGAATGCTTAAATTCAAGGGAAGAACAGACAGAAAAATCTATTATTAAATACACAGAACTAAATACATGGTGCTGAAATACATTATTAAAGTCAAAGAAAATGCATTTGGCCCTGCAACAAAAGTGGTTGGAGAGTGTTTGGGGGAAATACCACGTATGCTTGTCCTTCACTGATGCCTGGTCACCCACCAGAGGCCATTGCCAGAGGTTACAGGAGGACATGGGGCTACCTGCACTTTCAGCCTGACCCAAGGCATCCCTCCCCATGCTATATGCAGCACCCTGAGCAGCCCAGAAACTGCTGCCACCCCATCTCACTCAGATAAGGGATAAGAAACAAAGCGCATGGCAAATCTGTGGCAAACTGGAACTACAAATGACCTGTCTAACACCCACACAAGGCTCCAAGTTCTCTCTCCTCCCTCAATGTATCACAAAATGTGGATTTCAGGAAACGAGAGTCTCCAGAAACACCCGGTATAACCTCAGGAGACACTGAAATCCTAAATGAGAGTGAGGCAAGCATCACTCTTGGAGTAATCCCACCGCAGTTTGTTTGCTTGAAGGTGTTTACCACCAGCCCCGTGCCTTCGCATACCAGTTGCTGCTGCTCCTCCAGGCAGCTAGTTACTTATCTGCTCTTCAAATACTATTTATTACTGACTCGTTCCCAAGGTGATTCAATTAAGAAGTCAAAGAAGCAGCCGCACAGCTCACGAGGCAGTAAAGAATTTCTCTTACGGTACAGTTTGCCATGTGTTCTTCTCTCCTGTATGTAATGGGAATAATAGGACGCAGTAAACTGCACTAAGGCAATAAACATCTGTTACAATTATTTAAATGCCTTAGATCAGCTTCATTGTTTAATTGCCTGCAAAGAAAGCCATTTAATACCCTTATATATTCTTTCCCTGCCAGAAACACTACCCCTTAAACAGAAGATAAAACATTTAAAAATGCAAACATTTCTTATGATCCTGCATTACAGCTGCCATGCTGTAAAATATATCCCAGCGTCAGGTTTCCTCTGTTCAGCTCCTGCAGCCGAACACGGCTCTGTGGCTATGGAAAGTGTGGTAATGGGGTGCCCAGCACTGCTTCCTCATCACACCTTATTCCCTGCAGGAGGAAGGAAGAGAAATCATGTATCACTGTAGCAAAACAAAGCTATGCATACAGAGGAAACGAACATACAAAAACCCCAATTCAAGTGAGATTAAACGGGAGAATCTGGGAGCATTTGAGGCAAAGCCAAGGAAAGCAATTAAATCAATCCCGTTGCTCAGTGCTGACTTGATATGTTTTGTGCTCTGCAAATATGTGCCTGTGAAACCCCTGGGTATCACAGAGGCTTCAAAAGCTCAGGGAAGAGTATTGCTGGCCACAGGTACCCACTGGGAAAAGGCCTGTTGTCTTGTACATCACAGCCTGCTCCAGGAGCTCCAGGTCCACAACTCCCAGGTCCCAGGTGTTAGAAGGAGCTGGAGCAAACCCACTGATGCTGGTCCACGTGTGGTGTCCCACAGAGGTGCCACCCAGAGGAACTGGGGGAAGATGAGTGTTACAAGGTGAGAGAGAAAATTGTGCCTGGTGAAATGCGGCTGTTTTAAAGCAAGATGTTTGCTTTTAGTGCAGTGTTAGGCTTATGTTGTGGAAGTTATTACCGCGTCGTTACGTACACAACTACCTCTGACAAGCCACCTATTAAAGCAGAAACTTGGCGACTAAGACATATCAGAGCTAAAACCACCCACACAATTCTCTTACTTCAGCTCCTTTGAGTTGAAATGTAGGCTTTAATTACACGATCGTAGGCCATATTTTTATACAGAGCCCTTGTCTTCCTCTGTGAATTGCTAAATGTTTCTGTTTATTTTTAGCCCTGCTACTATAATGTACATCCCTTATCCTTATTTACCTCATGTCTTCCAAAGCCTGCCTCAAGCATAAAATTGGTGTTTTCCTCCCAGCTGTTTCCACGGCAGCATCTCGTACCCTGAAAGTACTAAGGATTCCTTACAGTGTGGCTGAGATACATAGGGATTGCTTCCCTCACGCTGCTAACAAAAGGCCAAGAGATGGGGAAACTTCAGAACAGGCCTTTGGAAAGCGTCCGTGAATTTTGAATACCCAGGCTGAGATCCTGGTTCATTTTCCAGAGCACCGATCCTTCTCCCAGCTCATCACATAGACCAAGCTCCCACTGTGCCATCTGCAGGTGGCTTCTCTCTAAAAACAAGTCCCGTCTGCCTTACCTCGGACATGCAGAAAATGAGAAGCATGCACTTTGTGGTCAACTTTTCCGTTTAAGGGATAGAAACCAAGTCTGTGGCTGAGCGAGAGACAGAACCTAGCTCTCCACAAAGGCGTCGAGCCGCCCCTCTGAGACCATTTTACAACTTTCTGGAGTATCCTGCCTCATTCATTATGCATTTCCAGCCTTCTCCAGCAAGAAAAGAGAGTCCTCCAGTCAACAAATGACTTCAGTATTACAGCCCTGCTCTATTTCATTAGTTTCTTCTGCTGTCCTCTTGGGCACCGACTCAGGCAGCCATCTGCAGGAAAAATAACAGAACGTGATATTTTTAATTAAAGTCTGCATTGCTATGCACACAAAAGACGAAGCTACAGTTATATTGCATTGCTCTGCCCTAGCTCCTGGGAGTTAGGACTTGAGCACAAAGCATTCTTCCCATCCTAAGGTAGGAGACCTTCAGCTTTCTAAAATGACTGGAAACCAGGAGTTTGGTTATGTAGGAGTATGTTAGCACATGCGTGGCCCCTCAGCCTGCAAAAAGCTGCTCTGCAGAGAGGATTTTGTGCCAGAGCTAGGGGAGTAGCTCTGCCACTGCACAGGTTGTGGATTACACGGTGTCCTATCAGAAGGAAACGACCCATGTGCAGAAGCTGGCACTGGATTCCTGATGCCTTTGCTGTCAAACACACGAGTCCAGGCAATAAATGCCCCCCTGTTCAGGAAACAAGGCATAAACCTATGTAAGTGTGCAAGTATATATAAATGCAGGGAATGATAATTTTCAAACACATTTAAAAACTGGCATGGTGGGCAGAAAGCAGCATTTTCAATTACTAGATGAGCAACTGCATGGCCCTGGGACCACCGTGATCTTCTTCCCCAGTTCAACAGTGTTGTAACTTCACATACGTGGCTCCATGCCCTGCAGGAGACCTCTTCCTTAGCCACTGACCCATTGACTTGTTTCTTCTACCATGAACAGTCTGGGGAAGACTTGAGCTAGCTGAAATATGCAGAGGGGAAAACTGGTGAAATAAAGAATCAAAAATTCAGATTTACTTTTTTTTCCTGAGAGGACAAAAAGACAACCAACAACGACAATAACAAAAGCAAACAAAAAAGCTAAATATCTGAGCAGCAGAACTAGTATTTCTTTCCTGTGGATGTGTCAGACCTCCCATAAACTCTCTTCTCCTAGGTGCAATAGCTCCTACAGCCTACTCTCATTTGTCTTTGATAGCACCAAGAACAGCTGTGGTGGCTGGTCCAGAGATACTTGTAAGCAGGTTGGCAAGCCAGCCCCCACCCCAAGGCCCTGACAACTGCTGGCAAGGATGTTCAGTAAGATCTGGCACCTTCTTCTCTTTTTCTCATTGGTTCTCCCTAGGACCTCAATGGAGACTTGACTTTTTCAGGACTTATGTCCCTTTCAAATGAGGCTGAAACCAGCCAACAAGGACAGTCAGGTCAGGGACGTGTCATATAAGCCTTGGGAGGCCAGACTGAAAAACTGGCCAGCTCTCAAATCCCAGAAGCATGCCTTCGGTTCAACACTGCATGTGGTACCCGCATGGCTGAATCAGGGAGATGCTGACACTGCAGCTATTAATATCTGCATAAAATTAATAAACCTAGGTTAATTCCCTCCTCTTCTCGCCTATAAACTTAGCCCAGCACAACACTGTTGAAAACAAACCCCCTTAATGCTAGGTTTTTGCTGTAATTGGAACTCATACTTAAGATGACAGACTTTTTTCGGGGAGGCAGTCCCTAAATCAAAGATGCACAAAGGACTTGGCACCACTGTTTAGTCTGACAGCCTTTGCATCTCTCCCAGGCATCAGGGTTGGCATCTTCGCTTAATGGGCCTCATGCTTTTTGTCCTAGCCCTACGAAGCCTCAGGCTTTCAGGGGGAAGAGGCTCAAAGAGTCTCCCTGCACCTCGGCAGCCATGCGAGAGCCATAATCAGAGCTTGTCTGCTGGTGCAATCAATACCCCAAAAGCCCACATTAGAGACAGATTCAAATCAGAGGGAAAATAACTTGTCAACCAAAGCAAACTCTGTGAAAGCTACTGCTTTTCAAAACACAGAGGAGCTACTGCTGTGCTCTCCATCTGGTAGAAACGATAAATCAATAGATATTCAATTTGCCCTGAAAAAGGGAAGAGAAAGGTTTCCAGCATGAACATGTCTATTATTTCATCAGCTATTCTGTTTGCACATTTCAGATGGAAACTTGGCCAGAGCAGTCTGGGAGCTCTGAGCACTGTCAGTTTTGCTAGAGTGCATTTAGCCACAAAAAATAAACCCTGACGAAGCAGGATCCTAGTCAGCTAATTAAATCAGGTTGCCATGTTGAGAATAGCTGCAGCCCCCAAAATGAGCAAAACCTCATTCAGACAGACAGAGGCTTTAGACCAAATGTTGTTTTTCTTTCCCATCTGTTAAAAATAAACCCTGCGGAATGACATGCCAGTTCATAAAAGTCCATCCCGCTGGAATATTAATCAGTGCACTGCATTTGATATTTATCTCCCTGTAAATGTTGCCTGTCTCTCTGCATTTTCTCCTGTTGGAAGAACCCTAACTTTGCAGTTTCATCACCTTCTTGCAAAAATCGCCTTTGTTACTGCTAAACAAACACAGAGCTTTATAGGTTTTTTCAGCGGTTTCAGGCAATGTGATCTCTGCTCCTAAATGGAACACAGTTGAGGTTTCGTGTATGTGGTTAAACTGACCGTGAAGAGAGGGAAAGAAATGAAAAAGCAAAAGAAAGCAAGCCATGTCCTCCTGTGGAGAGAGGAGAACAGCTCTGCATAGGTATTCACTGGGGTTTGGACCGAGGGGGGAGAAAAACAGTGCAGGGTGCATCCCATCGGGAGGAAAAGGATACAGGAACTCAGGGGAGGGCAGAGCAGAGAGGTGTTTGGACCAGAGAGACACCAACACCTCAGCAGTGCAGCTGAGACGGGATCTGTGCAGGAACCCCACCAGAGGAGCACCTGCCTGCAAGAAGGCTGCTCTGCTGGCAAACTCACACCTCCGGCTGATGACTCTGGCTTGATTTCAGCTCACTTCTCCCACTCCATGATCTCCTCCTCTAATGTCATTTCAGTTAATGTGCTAATGGTTCTACCAGGAGAGCAAGCCAGGGTTATGATATGGACCAAATTTTCCATTTGCCTGCTTTGCACACCTCCAAAAGCCACGTGTTAAAACTCCACACCTACACTGTCCTACCACGCTGGGCAATGTGCCACCCAGGGAAACTTCATAAGGCAAAATCAAGCTAATGACCTTCACTAAATTTTAATGAGAATCATCTTACCTGAGTGCTCATTTCCTCGGTCAGGCATGGGCTGTCAAAGACTCAAAGCTGGCTTGAAACCTGCATTACACCTGTAAATATTCAATCACAAGCCTAAGATTATCCATACTTCCTCATCACACTCCTAAAACATTCATCGTATAAATTAGCTTAAAGAGAAGGCTCGGTCAGAATTTCAATTAGAGGGAACAGAAACGTAAAGTCAATTGCAAAAAAAAATAAAAAATAAATAAAAATAAATAAATAAATCACAGGCTGGCACCAAAGCAGCAGGAAAGCAAAAGTAAAGTCATGGAATAAAACTTCCAGAAGTGCCTGTGTTTCCTAGGGTGTTGACACGGTCAGGAGGCTTAGTTTCACTGTAAATCCATGGGAGCTGGTCCCACTAGACCAGAGTCTTCCTCTGTGACACTGTTTGTCCCGAGCACTAGTGCTGGTGCACTACAATGCACGGTGGCTGGGGAGGGCCCCAGGGGTCCACGGCCACCCATCTCCAGCCTGTAAGACTCCAGAAGTGACTTCTTAGGGGGCTGTGCAAGGAATATAAGGGAGGATTTAAACAGGTGCCTGGGCAACATGCAAGCTTTCCTTCTGCCAGGGCTGGACCACAGCAGAGCCTCCCTGGGGCAGCCAGGGGAAACTGGCTGTGTTTTACCTGGAGTTTCCATCACCAATAACTGCATGCTCTTAACAACACCCGATAACGTTGCTTTTTGGGCTACACAACACTAAAAGCTCACCAGTGTGAACAATGTTTGGAAGAACCTGCCTGGGATTTTTTAAGTGCCATGAAGACGGGGACAGAGGGACGAGTTTCCCTTGTTTCCATGCCAATGACTTTTTGTCTCAGGTGTTTATCAAAGTTTATACAGGCTGAGCAGGCACCGCCTGGGTTAGAGACAAGGTGGCGTTTGCCCAGTCCAGCCTAGTCCTGCATGAGATGCAGAGTGCCCGCAGTTTTAATAAAAAGCACTAGATGGGAGTAAAACATCGAGCTAAGTCTGCCCGAGAAGCAGCAGGAAGGCATTCCCAAGCAGGGCGAGCAAGCAGAAGGTGCTGCTGGGAAGCTGTGTCTTATTCTGATGCAGCTCCAGAGCCTCCTCAAGTAACTCAAAATAAATGTGTCTGCCTAAAGTAACTCAAAATAAATGTGTCTGGAAGTGCTGCCATAAATCTGAGCGCACGGACAAGTAGGCAGAACCTCCCTGACACAACGCAGGGAGCTGGCTGGCTGTCCACATACGGCTGCTGCAATTAGAGGGAAATAGAGGGTCACTTCATAGACTAAACATTTTCCTTCCTGGGGTAAGTGTCTAGGTGCTGGTGGGTGGTGCTGGCTCCCAGCTGTAGGTGCTACCTGTCATATAAAAAGCATTGGAAACTGCCCAGCAGAAGTCACACAGGGAGGGCCAGGAGGCTAGAAACTTGGCAGTGGGGCGATTTTGTAGGGTTTGGTTTAAAAGAAGCAGGCACCAAAGCAGGGGGATGCTTGTCAACTTGCAGAGCAGACTTGCAGAAGGCACCTAAGGAAGGATTGAAACCTAACCTGCACCTCCTGGGCAGCACACAAGGGGTCTGCAATGCTGCCTCTTCCTCCTCCTCCTCCAAGCCCATCACCAGGGGAGACCAGTGCTTTCTCTACCTTTCCCAAATGACAAAGCAACTTTTGAATGAATCCTCTCAATTCCCAGGCACACAGAAGAGGATGAGCTCACCCCTGAGATATGTCAGTGGTGTTTGTAACACTCCTCCTCTCCTTTTCCTAATAAGGAAATATTATATCTGCGTTGGTTTATTTTTTCCCCTAAAATAGATAGATAGATAGATGGATAGATGGATAAAAACCCAGCAACTTTGGTGCTGTTGATGTGACCTTAGTGTTGATGAGAAATACCCAGGACAGTCTTTTGACAGAAACCCCCCCAGCTCCTAGTAGCTTAGCATCTCTCTGTGTGCAGGTGTTCTCCAAGCACTGAAGTCAATCAAGCACAATACCCCACAGCTGGCCCAAACCCTGCACAGTTCAGTACTTATGAGATAAGGCAGAAGGTCCTGCAGGCACTTCAGCATCCTCACCCTTTTTCCTCCCCATTTCAGCACAGACAGGCCCTTCCCTTGGGCACACAGTTACACAGGCCCTCCCGTTAGCTCTCCGGATGGACCTCACAGATCAAAGACTCCCAGTTCCCTCCTGCAGCACTGCTCCACTGCTTCAGAAACAGCCTGGCCCACTGCTCTTTCTATGGAGAAACCAAAGCAGCTGGGCTATAAGTTTCATTCGTTGCCAATTTGGTCTGGGTTGGCCAACTCAGAGGAAGGGGAAAATCAGCACTCTGCTCCATCACCTGCACTTCAGATTCTTTTGGGCAAAAACCCAAGTCCAATGCTGGGAAGCACCTACAAGGAGTGGTCAGAAAATCAGGCTAGGGAACATCAAACCCCTTACAGACACCAGCTAGGACTATTCAGGGTCCATTTCCAGCTCTGCCTTAAGTGCCCAGAGCCACTTCAGTGCCAAGGTCAGCACACTGATGGGCATAATCCATGCTGCTGGGAATGCTGAGCTGGTGCAGGATTCCTTCTCCTCCCCTCTCTGCTTCATTCCCATCACATTCCCATCCCTTCCTCTCCTTTTTAGTGACATTTCCCTCTTGCACTGTGTCCCTTTCCCATACTCATCCTCCTTGCCTTCAGCCTTGGGTTGCTCTGGCTGTACCATCATCCCTGCGAGGCCACCAAGCCGCACGCAAGCACAGCAGCCTAGCAAAAGGCTGGATCAATACATGCTGGCAGCTCTGCACCTGCTGCCCTGGCAGTGCCCTGAGTCCCTTCCCCTCCGCTGAAACCAAACGAAACCCTGCTCCAAGTGAAAGCCAGCAGATGCTTAACCAGCACCTCCCGTGATGTTTGACAGCAGAGCCCCCCTCCAACACCAGCTGACACAAGGCGGCTGCAGATATTTTGCTGGTGTCCCAAGTAACTGGCACTTTGAGCAATCTGTCACTGAGGGGCAATGTTGGACTAAGGGCTGGGGTGGGGAAAGAGAGCAGCAGCTCACAGGAGGCAGAACCAAAAGCACTGGTTAAATAACCTTCAGCTTCAGAAAAGGCCAGGATGCTTTTGTGCAGCCAGGGCCAGCCTCTCGCGAGGAGATGGGCCAGGAGGTAATGCACTCCGGTTGTTTACTCGAAGTTCAGTTGTCCTCCACCAGTGTTAAATACTTCTTCATCTTCTCGGGGCATAAATGATGGGACGTACTGGCACGAAACAGTGACACTAAAAGCTAAATCCATTAAGGGATGGTTTGCGGGGAAGGGGGGAAGAGCTACCATGCATCTCGCATTATCATATAACGTAGGAAATAGAGAGGAAATGGCCTCTTCGATTCTCCAAAGCTGCAATTTGGCGATCCTCAGCAGCCTTATCTCGCACAGAGATTAGAGCCGGGCAAATAAATCAGAGCAGTGAAATCAATGCACGCATTCCTTCTTCCTGTTCGCGAAGAGGGAGGGAGGCTGGGGTAGCACCAGGCAGCCAGGTTAATGCATGCATTCGGGGGCCAGAATAACCAAATGAGTATTTGTGCACACACGCCCCGAGTTATTGATTACACATAAGTCTATCTGCAAAGAATATTCCTCTGAATAGTTTGTAGCTCTGATGAGACACTGGACCTCAGAGGCTAGCTGTGGGGACTATGATTAAAAATATTTGCTGCCAGCCCAGCCTACCAAGTGTTTTGGTTTAGCTGCCCCTGAGTAAAAGCTCCTCTGCTGCAAAATGCTGAGGGTGCCTCACAGGTCAGTGCTCGTCCATGTTGCACCAGGCCAGCTGAACACAGGCAGCATTGTCCCGTCTGCCACCCGCCTGGATGGCCCCACTCCACGGGTCGCTTGAGACCCTGCCTAAAAATCCTGAGAAGATTGCTTTCAGCCATGAGAAAAAGCACTGCAATTAAAAATCATAAAAAACACCAGGAATATAAAGCTAATAGGTAGAAATATGGGCACCATCCAGGCAAAGATCCTGGCTGGTGATTTGCCAGCGTGTTTGTAAGTGCAGCTATATCACCACTGCTCTGCATCCTGCGACAAACAAGGTTAACATGGGACTGGGTTTAGTGCAAGCATTGTTCCAAAACCACAGAAAAGGGAAGTGTTTCTAAATCAGAGATTCGGTGTTGAGATTTTGGACTTCTCCACTCTGCTCCACGCCCCGTGTCTACAGCATTGTCTCATCAAGACGTGCAGAGAAGTGCAGGGCACAACCCACCCTCCCCAGCATCCCACAAGAGGGATCCAAAATGGTTCCAAAAACGCACATGTAAACCCAGATATGGTCAGCTCAGAGATGTATTGCCATAGCCAAGCTCTCTGATCCAGCCAACCCCTGTGCCTGCATGCAGATTATCTCTCTAATCTCCTCTCCCCCTTTCCCAACCTGCAGACTGCTGCTGGCAAAAGCACACTACTGCTGCTGGCAAGCACGCCCTGCTTGGTCTCGCCTCCGACTGCTTGCTGTTTGCACCAGGGTCCTGCCTCGTGTTTGCCTGCAAAGCCCCTGGCAGGCATCAGCACGGCATAACCAAAGGGAGAGGCGCTGGGACCTGCTGCTCCTCATCGGCTGCAGCTTCCTCAGGTTGCTTCTTTGTCCGGGTTAATTAATTAAATGTTGCCTCTTTTCATACCTCAGATAAATACTTATCCAGAAATATTATAAGGCAGCTGAATCCAGCACAAGTGCTGCTCCTGGCTCTGCAAACCACAGGCCTTGCCTTGCTAGAGGGAGCCACCACAGCAGCATCGAAATCCGACCAGCTTTCTGCCCCCATCCCCAGCATGTGCAGAGCGACACAAACACAGCCACCTGAAACAGCTTCATCACATATCTATATTTTTTTTTTCTCTCTTTGTGTTGTAGTTAAATGGGAAACTATTGGTGTCCTGATACAGAGCATTGTGGTGACGCCAGGCGTCCCTTGCTGCCATATGCCAGCTCTCCGTTGCATTGCCACACAGCTGGCTAAGAAAGAGTCCCACTGAAGGACAGCGTTTACTGGTGTAGCTTAGTGTAGTGTAATGGAGTATTTAAAAAAAAAAAAAAAAAAAAAAAGGAAAGAAAAGAAAAAAGAGAAACCACAGAGCTTTTCAGGGGGATTCAGAATGTTCTATAACATTTTTGGAAGAAAAAAAAAAAAATACAACAAAACCTCCAGGACAAAGTGAAAAGGAAATCAAAAGCACACCCCAGCATGCAAACTCCTCTGTGCAATCCCACTGAGGCAGCAAGAACAGCTCATACTTGTCTAAGCTGGAAAGCAAAGTCTGCCAAGCCCTTTCCAAGGAAATTATTTCGGGGAAAGCTACCGAAGTCAGAATAACAGCAGCACCGCTGTTAAGTGCAGAGCAGATATTTTAGCTTGATTATGCCCTTTGCATCTCAGATCAGCCAAAAAGCAGCCAGCCTTGCCTTGGAAAGCAGCAGCGTGCAGCTACACATTGGAGCATGCAGGGAGAGCCTTGGTTAACTGTTCAGGGACAGCCCTGCTCAAGGAAGAAGAGCTTCACGATGCCATCAGCTCTTTACTGGGGCAGACAGCCTCTGATTAATAAGGCCTCATCCAGAAGAGTGTTAACTATTGGAACCATTAATAATTTAGCCTGGCGGTAAAAGCCCCCAAACACCCAGGGACTGCTTCTGTGAGCTCCCTGAGCAGGGGCAGAAGCACAGCGGAGCCATGTGAGGGGCGGACACAGGAGACACAAAGCTGCCTGCTAATGCTGACCTGGGCCATAGCCTTTTCTTTTTCCCAGTGCACTCTTGGCCAAATAAGTTATGTCTTCGGATCTATTTCACCTGCATTTATTCTTCAGCACCTTAGACTTGGCTTCTGCCTTTGGGAGCTAAGTGTCAACAGTAATCATGGAATCACAGAATATCCTGAGTTGGAAGGGACCCACAAGGGTCATCAAGGCCAGCTTCTGGCTCCACACAGGACTACCCAAAAATAAAACCCTATGTCTAAGAGCATTGTGCAAACGCTTCTTGAACTCTGTCAGGCCATGACCACTGCCCTGGGGAGCCTGTCCCAGTGCCCGACCACCCTCTGGGTGCAGAAGCTTTCCCTCACACCCAGCCTGACCCTCCCATGTCACAGTGATGCTGGAACAATTAATTTTCCATAGCTTCTGCATCCTCCCTCTGTTTTAGAAGGGTACAAGGACACCTGACAGCCCTCCTCTGACACTGCAGCTGGGAATTGTATCTTGTGTTTAACCACGCAGAATGCTCCATCACCCTTACCTCGATGCTGTAAGTACGCTGGCTGCCACATGAACCAACACCAGGAGCCTCGTCCACCTCTGGTCCTGGGCTTGCACAGGCATTTTATGGGTAACTGTGCCCCTATGCAGCCTGGCAAGGGTCATATGTTCAGATAGTTTTCTGACTACAAACAGCATAAAAAAAAATATTATTATATGTTTTTCTATATAATACTTTTATATATTTATTATATAACAAACAAAACAAAACAAACAAACAAACAAAAAAATCAAACCTTCAAAAGACAGAGTTAAGAAATACCAGCCAGAAATCTCAAAACCTTACTGTGGGAGCTCAAACTCTTCAACTTGCAGCAAGACAGTGGTCTTCCTTATTTTTTTCCTTCTTTTAAATCTGGCAAGCAACTTCCAGCTCTACCATAAAGACATGGAAGTGAGGCCAAAATGCAAGAGGACTTTGAGTGTTTTGTTGTTTGACTGTGATGCTCGAGGGTGGGATTTTTCTTATGTTTACTGCATATGAAACATTATCTTAAGAAACAATTTGGGACATTTTCAAAGTTACTATGGTTTGTGGATAGAAATTGGCATGTCTGTTCCATCAGGCCCTTCAGATTGTTTGCCTCTAGAGTTCCCTATAAAATCACCTAACGTCACGATGGACGTATGACAATGTTTAGGTTGTCACTGCGATAATATGTACGTTACTTCTGACAACTCATTGTTTTATTGAGGTTTCTCAAGATACCCTTTTCCCCAGCTAATCTTCCCCATGCCTCTTCCCCAAACCCAGAGGGCTGAACACCCCCCGGTCCCTATGTTCCCACGTGCAGCGTGTAGCTCCTCAATGTTTCTGCAGAAAGACTTACATTAAATAAAAGTGACCAAGAACCTGCGGGATGTCTGAATGGAAATACCCCTGCAAGTGCCAAGAAGAAGGGTAAGGGACCCAGAGGACTCAGTGATGCTCTTCAGTCACAAAGTGAGATTGGAGAGGTGCTTCCAGGAGGACAGGTTTCCAAAGAAGGGCAGGCAGGGAACCTGGAGAAAAAGCAGAAACCAACGAACAGCAGCAGGAATTACCAGTGGCAAACGGTCCCAACATTTTGAAATACACTTCAAATTAAAAGGAAAAAATAAATAAAGTAAAATAAGAAACCAACATTTGAACTGGAAAATCATTATGGACAGCCAGAGAGATCTGACGTGGAGCATCAAGTCTGCAGCAAACAAGAGGCAGAAGAAACTCAGGCCAGCCGTCAGCCCTGTCAGTGTTTCCCCGTGCTGGCACAATTGTTACTTTCCAGGTGAGGGATTGGAGTTGCTGCACTCATTTCCTCAGCAGCTATTTTCCTGGAACTCAGCAGAGTATTTCTTTCTCTTTCTCCCCAGCATAAAAGCATGTGATGTTATTCAACATGACAAGCCAGCTTTCCCATCATTTTAATTTCTTTCATGGCGAACCACCCCGCTTAGAAACACACAATGCCACACAATAGCATGTCAAAGGGCCTAACTGGGGTGCGGGCAACTCTTTCAGAGCGTGCCTAAGAGGGTGACATGTAATGCAGCTTTTTCATCATTTTCTTTTATTTCCCCCTCCTCGTGAGGCTTCCAGTCAAGTGACATTTTGTTTGATATTCACATCATTTCCCAATTACAGTTCTTCTAAATTCTTGTGAACAGCTGAATAATTCCTGGCATGGCTTTGTTACAGCTCATTTCACTGCATTAGCTTCCACTACCTTTCCTCTTTAGAGGCTGGATCTGGAGATTTAGTTCAAATCTCGCTCTCGCATGCAACCTTTCCTCTCCACTCCTGCTTTTACTGGAGCAGGTCTCTCATCTCAACTTCCATTTCACAACGTTTCTATCATGAGCCGGCTCAGTCTAATTCTCCCAGCACACAATAGCTAAGGGAAAGGTTAAGAGACACCCTTGTGATATAATTGTCACAGCTGCTCAGCACTGCTTACCTGAGGCACTCCTGAACAGGCAGAATCCTTACCAAGGAGAAGGATCAAGAGCAATAAAAATACTCTTAAGTTCAGGGCTCTGCAGCACACATCCACAGCTGAAGGAGAGTAGTATGCTCAGGGCAATTCTTCTGGATCAACACATTTTTTATGCCTTTGAGAGGATGGATACTTGTTGAATGTTAGTCCTTCAAATATTAGTACTCACCAGTACCTTTATGCATATATCATAACCCACTGGACTCCACTGAGGCCCCTCTTTCGGGTTAAGACATTTACATGGAGTTGTTTTCTCTCCACACAGAGTTTGTTAGCCTAGAGACCAACCTAAATGGATTCAGGAGCCAAGAATCTCTGCAGACCAAGTGCTCATCAATCTGATTTCTCAGCCTTCCCTCCCTCCAAACTAAGAAAACTTGAGCTGGGCAAAAACAGAGGGGAAAATGACAAGCTCATGGAGAAGCTTGTGGTCACACAAGAGTTCACTAACGTTATGCCCACCCAACACAGGATTTTGTGACTGTCAGCCACAATCCTACAAGCTGTTTCCATTACAAGTGAAAACCAGTTTTGCACGCCAGGACATCACTGATGCTCAGTGGGGCTTGAGTGGAGCTTCCTGGATCACCTCCACTTTAAACATAGCTTCTGGCACAGAAGCAGAGATGGACGCTCTCTCTACACTTACTCCCTCTATCTCATTGCAAAGGGACACCAAGGAAGAGCCTCCTGGGGTGTTGATCCTGAAGGTCTCACCTCCACAGAAGACTTTCCATTTGATGACCAGCTGCAGTTATGTGTCCTGGGTCCCTGCTAACATCCAAAAAGCGGTCACACGTGCACAAACAAGCAGAAATTAGAGTGCTATAGCAGAACAAACAAGACAGAGGTGATCTTCAGCTATTTGCTTGTGTTTTTTTTTTTCATACCTCCAAATTCAAGCCTGTCCCCAGCCCACCTGTGTGATCTGCAGCAGCACAAGGCATCCCAATTTGTGCTGCATGAACTATGTGTGGATGGGAATATTCCCTGAGAAGCAGATCAGGAGAAAACTGGGGCTGCCTCGCTAAGCCAGGCTACCAGCACCTGCACTTGGGTGATTTATTTTTTTTCCTGAGGAGATTGTGAAGAGCTTATTTGCCACCTGGGCCCAGTGGAAAAGGCCCCGGGTTTGGGAGTTAGGAGCCTTCAGTTGCCATCTCAGCTGTGCCATTTACTGCTGTGCAATGATGCGCAAGCAGGATCCTGCAACTGTGAAGCTGAAGAACTGCAAAGACTGAGGTTCACACCAGTTCTCCCACTCATCCCTCCCTCACTGCTCTCACAAAACGAGTCCCTCCTCCCAGAGCTTATGGCCCAGCTCACACCTGGCTGAGCAGTGGAGATCTCCTTCCTTCCCCAGCCCAGAAGCTAAGCAAGGGCTGAGCTCTATCACGAGGTCACCTTTGCAGCCGGAGGCACATTTCTGAGAATGCCCCTGACCACAGAGTCCCCCCCCGTGCCTCGCTTCTGCTGTGCCGAGCCAAGAGCCTATAGATTTCCTGCTCTTAAAATACATTAACGTAATAAAAGTCAGAATTACACAGCCTGGAATTTGTGATTTACAGCCCTAGGCTAAACACAAGAAGAAATAAGAACATCCTGTGGCAACTCAAACAATCCGAGTCTATTATGCAGGGAGGTGAACTTTTTACCCTCAATGGAGGAGAAGAGCTATTGTGTCTATTAGAGCCAAAACAAAATTGACAGAGAAACATCTGCAATACTTTTCTTTTTCAAGAGAGGATAGATCAACATTACTAATGACTGGCCTCAGCAGCTGTCCTGTCTAATTACCAGCTGCTCTTAGACATTATTGTCTAATATTAATACCAGCGGAATCCCTTATTACATTCAGTGTATCATGATGTCATGTCTGGCTTCTCGTCTGTCTTCTCCACGTCTGCGTGGTTAACCTGGAGCAATATCACTCCCTGCCTCCAGACTGAGGTGGAATAGTCAGAGGCTCTGTGCTGAAGATGGTTTTCAGGAAAGCCCCATAGGGCAAGCCAGGCATTGTAGATGTTCAGTGTTCACTCTATGATCAGCTTTATTCTGTCCAGAGTCTCTCCTTTTTTCACATCCACAACAGTATTTAATCTTTAATCAAGCACAACCCCAGTGACCACCTAATGAAGTTGAATTTTTATGGGGTTTGGCCTGAAGAAAATTGCTCTCACTGTCACTGACTGAAAGACTTAGATCCACAGCCAGATCTAACACCTGGATCATGAACCTTTAGCACCCAAGAGAAGTAACGCAGGCAGAAGATCTTCTCCTTTCAAGCCTACGTACCATCATGGCAGGGCTGTGCTTTCCTGTTAGCTTCAACAAGGGAAAACAGGAGGGAATCTCACTGCATTTAAATGGACGTTTCTAACAATGTTTCTGAAGTGAAGCAGTCCCATTCAGGGAGAGGTCTGAGGCTAAAGATTACACTGTACTATTTGTTTGAGGTATAAAAACACCAGGGAGTTGTGTGTTGGGGTGTTAACTCAAGGTCTATGTGCTGTCTTGAGGGCAATGTAGGCTTTAAGTATTGCCTCGAGACTATATAAAAATAAAATATTGTACTAATCTCTAGATTAAACAAAAGGCAGACAATGGGAGCTTGTCTTTTCTTGCCAGCATGTTTCAGCAGTCAAATACCCTTACAGGTGTGTTCATCTGGGTGAGAGGGGAGCCGGGTCTTGTCTTTGAGGCTGAGTCACATTTTGTCTTCCTGCTGGTATCAGAGCCCTTGTAAAGCTTCTAGAACACGTGTCCTGTTTCCACAAATGTAGATATAAATGGGCACCCTTGTCTTGTTGCCACTGCTCGTGGGTTTCTTTTTTGGAGAGATTAGCCCTTCATCCCTTCACCCGTGCCACCTCAGCCCTCCTTCATCACACTTACAGCAGCTGCTGCTGCATCACTTCAGACACCAGGTCTTTCTCCCCCAGGGTACAAAATCCACGACCACCTCCCCCATCAGATAGGGCCACTTTAGTCACAGAAAGTGCTTCCAGGAAGACTAATGACAGGAAATGGGCCCAAGCAATGATGCTTTGCATATAGAGAAGCTCTTATTGTAAGGATCTCCTCAGCTTTTCCATTAAATAATATTCAGAGGAAGTACTGGTCACAAACATACTCCACCATAACTGGTAAAACAGTCACATTTACACTATTTGTGGCTTGTGTGTTTGTTTGTTTGTTTTTAAGTGGATTAAGCAGTAACAAGCAAAGAACAACTAAGTAGTAAGACTGATCAAGAGCATATATGCATCTGAATGTTTCCTTTAGCTGATTTTTCCTTGTACAAAAAAACACTAGGATTCCTGCCAATAACAAACAACATAGACCATGGGCATTATGGAAAGTAAAATGGGGAAGACAAATAGAAATTGTTTTATATCAACTCTCACATTTCAGTTCTTCTTAGGAAGCACAACAATCCCCCAGAAAGCAGAAGGTGAGGGTTTTCGTAACGTTTAACTGTTTTCTGAAGTGTGGCACCTAGACAAGAAGTACTGTACAGTGGTGAAAGAAAACTAAACTGTGAAGCTGGTAGCAGCTGGAAAGTTCAACAAACCTGGCAAGGATTTGAGTTCAGACTTAACACAATACTGGAGGCTGCTGGGTCTCCAGCCAGCACGTGGCAGCAGCACGGAGCTCCCTGCTCTCCCTGGTCCTGCATTTCAGAGGCAGCCACTGCACTTTCCTGCCTTGGTTCGTGGTCTTTTACACATCTGAGAGGATGTACTTTTAAAATGTTTACAGCTTCTGAAGTAGTATTACAGGAGTAATAAATACCATTTGTTCTTTCCAATGATTTTCCTTAAATTTCTGAGTTCAGGACAGCAGCTGCAAGGCAGAGTGGCAATAACATATTTTTTTTTCTTGAGGAGCAAAAGAACTGAATATCCCTGCAATTACTGAAGTCCCCATCACTAGTGTTTTACACTAATTTCAGTCCATCTTAACCACACTCAGATTTGTCATCTCCTTTCAGCACAAGAACAACGTGTGCCCCATTTGCTGAGGAGGGAGCACACCAGCAGCGAGAAGGGGAGCAAGATGCCAAGGTGGGATCAGCCATTTCATCCCCCTGAGCCCAGCCGTCTCTGACCAAGGCTTCATGGCAGGTCTCAGGAGGTGAGGCCTGAGGAGCAGTGCTGCTTTTCTTCCCACAGGGCTTCTCTGCAGGCTGGCAATCCTTCCCTGCAAGCTTCTGTGTTTGCTCCTGATAGCTGTGAGGGAAATCTGAGCAGGTGGGGCCGCTTACGGAGAGCTAGGGTATCAGCAATTTTCTGTCCTTGTGGATCAGGAAACTTTCCAAGGCCAAACCACCAGAAAGGCCATGAGCACAACTCATCTCAGCCACAGAGGAACATGCCAAAAAAAGCCACATCCCCTTCATGGTGGTTGGGTTTGCAGTCTTACACACAGCTACCAGACCTGGAAGGTGGCAGCAGTGCAGCCTGGATGGACCAGAAAGCGTCCTGCTAAGGCCCATAAATCTGGGGAGGGAGAGCAGGTTCCTCCCTCCCAGCTCTAGGGCCCTAGCTGACCTCCCTCCCCACTCAAAAAACCCTGGCATGAAGAAGTCCCCTCTCCCCCACACGGCACTGTACTGCAGGTGTCTCCTTTGCTGTTATTCTCAATATTAGTTCCTCATATTAGGCCACCACATGAAACACCAAATGAGATCGTAAAAAGCAGCCATGTGTGTGCAGCACAGCTAAAGGTCACTGCTGCATGCGAATTCACTTTTTAAAAATAATTAATTGAACAACAGCCTGACATTTACCCTGCGAGGGGATTTTTGAGGGTTTGCTTGCTGAAGCCTGATGTTCGCAGGCTGCAATGTTTACTGCTGGGGGAGCGGAGGATCATTGTTATTCTAGAGCAAATAAAAGAAAACTGATCAAATTCAACTCTGAGTAAAGGGGAAAAAAACAACACTATAGGCAAACCTTGCACTGGATTCACTCAGCTTTGTTCTTTTCCCCCCTCTGTGTTTCACAGGACTAGCGACTGCCATTAAAACTGAACAAACATTTCCAATGCAAAAAGTAATTTCAGTTTGCATATACCTTTCTTCAGAGCTAAAGCTTCAAACACCTTTTCCTACCTTAAAAAAATATTAATTAATGTTAGTTGCAGGAACATGGAGTCTAGATAACAGTCAGGCAGTTTTTTTCAAGGATATAGAGAAAGGAGAAGTAGAAGAAAGGAAATTGTGTTCTCCTTTTTAATTGGTATCTCAGTTGTAAGTGTCTCATTTCTCTGTTTCACAGGTAGGTTGAGCTGGGTTGGCTTAATCAGTGTCAGCTGTGAGGTGCCAACAACCTAAAATGATTCTTTCCACATACATGGTTTCTGCATGCCCATGGGCCACCAATTTCCAGCTGACTATGTGTGCCATTTCAAGCCCTGGGAGGGGCTGGCTACAGGCTCATTATCAGTGATGTAGAACACAGCAGTTGTTCACTCAGAATTTTGTCCAAGACAATGTTCATTAAGTATTTTGTCTCGCAGGGAAGCTAAAATGTGAATTCTCGTTGTGGACTTGGGCCAGACTCCATTTTCAAAGCCTCTGAAATGTGAATGGTGAGTGCATCAGAGCATCTCATCTTTTAAACAGCTTTCAGTACATTTAAAAAAAAAAATCCTCCAGCCCCACAACAACCCAATTTCTTTAGTAAACTCTGGTGTGGAGCCTTGCATGGTGCTGTTTGGAAACCCACACACGTCCCCTCTACTGGACCCTCCTTATCCATGTACTTACTGGCACTTCATGGGACTCCAGGAGGCAAGTCAGGTAGGGTTTCCCTTTAAAAAAGCTGTGCTGACTGCTTCCCACAGGCTGTGTTTATATCTACGTGCCCAATGATCTTCTTTACTATCAACTCTACCATCTTACCACTGCTGGGAGTCAGACCCACCAGGCTGTAGTTCCCAGGATGCCCTCTAAAACCTCTTTTATTGAGGGAGCTTACAACAGGGATTTCAACTCTCCTATAAAGAAAGAAGCTCTTCATGTACAATGATACTGATTTTAAGTTTTGGCAATGAAAATCTCAGTTCTGGGGTATGTTCTTTTAGTCATCACCAAGTCTGTGATTCTAAGCATGGTAGCAACCGTAAGCAAAATCTTTATTTTTCTTCATGTACCACGTATCTTGCCCAATCACCTGCTGTTTGTTGGGTAACACACAGTTTTAAAGGAAATTCATACATAGACTACCACATTGTAGCAATTGGCATTAGAGTATGTATGTAGAGAAAACAACTTATCCCAAGTGCCAATA